CTCATCATTAAATCCTGCATTGACATTTTCCATCTCTAGAATGCAAACCTTACATTTCAATTCCGGTAACTAACATTTTACCATGGTTTTAGCATATGAATCATAATTTGATACATGGCACCACATTCAGCCTGCCTCAAACCTGCATCGTTTTAAACAATTTCTCCCAGAAACCGGTCTGTGTCAGTGCTTTCAGCTGCTATAGTTTTTCGATGCTGTAACCTTTGTGAATCATGGCAAGTTACTTGCATCCCGTTTGTATCATCCCCTGACCCTCTCACAGATTCCTGGACTATCACATAGCTCCAATTTCTCATCTCTAGACAACACATTTTGCTGTCATAGTTCAGTAGTTCTCAACCATCATTATGAATAGCAAGGCCATGGCTTCACTTCCTGGCTAATCAAGTACGAATAGACCGCAGGTATCTACAGTTTTAAAAATTCTAGATGATTCTGAAATTTAGCCAGAGATAAGAAAGTTTGAAATAGACTAAAGTAAGTAACAGCAAAAAATTCAAGGGATTTCCTCCCCCCAAAACCCTTAGTAATAAAGGTAATGTTTTAATACAATATTTTTAAAAATCAAATTTGAATGAAAAATTATATGTTATAGACAAAACATCAAAATTTTAAGTAAAGGACCAGTACCGCACACCTGTAGCTGAAACAAAGTCATAATCTTGTTTCTATCTTTATTTAAAATTTTGATATTTTATTCATCATACTTTTGAATTAAATTTCATGTTTAAAATGTATTGCATCAAAATATTGATTGTCTTGATTACTGAAGTTTTTGGTAGCCCTTAAATTTTGCCCTCTACTCAACTTGGCCTGGATCTTGCAAACCGTTGCCCTAGGCAGATGTTCTGAAGTTTAGAAGCTAAGCTATCAGGAACTCTCCTTGACCCCAAGGCCACTTGACTGTAGTGAGCACTCTTTTCTGACAATTCCTCACTTGCTAAGCCAAGCCAGTAATTAACAACAGGGAGTGAAGTACAGATAGGAGATCAAGTCAATTGCTTTTGTCCAGAGTTCCCATCTCTTTCTCAGGTCCTGGTCCCAGGAAACACCCCTATACCTAAAATATGTAGGAGAGTGAGGCTGATCTATAGGTTTTTGAAACTTTCTCTAAGCGATTCTGATTCCTCATTGCTTCCCATGACCCTACCAGAACCACCGAGCCAGATTATGTAGTAAACACCCTGCTACTCTGTGGAGGATATGAGAAGTTCTCGGGCCCTCGGACAGACTTAGGAAGGCAGATTGTCCTGATGTCTGTGGCAGGCCCAGATAGAGAAGTTAAAGATAACTTCAGAAGAAGTTTGTCGCTCCTACAGTGTTCGTTCCACTGTGGTCCCTTGAGACTCTCAAATATTTGCTTGGTATAAGACTAGATAAGAATAGCTAACTTTTTAGAAGCTTTAAGTAGCCAGGATGATTCAGATAAGATGCACTAAGATTAAAGGAGCATAGATGGTTCTTTAGATGCTTTATGTACTCGCAGATATAACTGGTTGTTAGTTGACTAGCATTGTAAACTGTTAATAATTGATGTATCCTACAGAAAAATGTATAAAAGAAGAATATTACCAATAAACCCCTCCTTAACTCCAAGAGTTCTGGTCCCCTGTGCCCTTATTTAATAGGTTTTGTCGGATACTGTCTTCAGGTTCCAGTCTCCCACTGAGGGGATCCCTGTACTCAGAATGTGGTACAGCAGCAACAGCAAGAACACTTCCATCCTACCTCTACAGGAACATAAAACTGGGGGTACAGGCAGGAATCTGGGTGTAGTAAGATGGATGCATGTTAAAGTGTAGAAAATGTTGGTCATATAAATAAATAATCATCTTACTGTTAATGGATTTGTGACAACTAATGGAGAGCTACTTACTCCCTAGTTAGCTGAATCCACTTCCAGAGGTAAGGAGGAGGCTCTTTGGAGATGCTCTTATATAGATCCAGGCTATCCAACTGGTGTGAGATGTCAGCCAGTGGGTCTCAGGAACAGAGTTTTGGCCAAATGCATGGTTTCTTGGGTGTGACCATGACAGGGAAAACCATGTATCATGAGTAAGCCATCTAATTGGAAACGCAAAGAGGCATGAGCAGAAGTTCTAAGTCTTTCTGCAAGCTTAAGGAGCAAGTCTGAAGCCAGACCAGAATAAAGAAAGTCTCAGCCAGGAGTCCAAAGACATTTTTACAAAGGACCCAGTGAAGTCCAATGTTCCTTCTCGATGCCAGCCAAGGGGCACATGGGTGAAAAGGTGTGGCCAAAGGCATAAGGTCAGGGGAGCAGCACTAGAAAGTGGATTTCAGAAGTGCATGCATGTTTTGGGCTTGCCATCCATGTATACTGTTTTAGCAGTGATTTATTCATTCTTTTTTTTTTTTCTTTTTTGGTACTGGGGATCGAACTCCAGACCTTGCACTTGCGAGGCAGGCACTGGAACCACTGAGCTAAATCCCTGGTCCTTGTCCACTTTCTTTTCAAATCAAATACCCAGAACTATTTTTAAAGGTGGCATTTCTCTCTAGTCAAAAGTACTCAAAAAATATAAAGAACGAAGTTGATTAGAATTTAAGATATCGTTGTGGGGCAAAAAAATCTCAATCCAAATGTAAGGATTATTAATTTTACCTTTTTCATGTAGTTTTTGTACATAAGGAGCAGGTGTTAAATACTAATTGAGATTTAGAAGCAAAAAACCCCCTTTAAGAAATCAGTTACTTATTAAACGTGACTTCACACAGAGCATGAAGTTGCTTGAGATCATGCAGGACCAGAGAGCAGACAAGTCAGGGGAGGTCAAGTCAGAAGCGTGGTCTCTCCAGATCAGACAGAACAGGCTAAGAGAGAAGAGGAGGAGCGAAGCAGAGCATGAGTCACAGCACAGGGGAGGGCTTCTTGCTAGCTATCAGATAGCATTTTCAACACAGCTCCCTCCTCACAGCCAAACAGGGTCATAAAATCACCCCCTAGCCCCCAGATGCTTGCCTTCTGCTGCAGCTCAGCCTTTGTGTATCTTATCACCTCCAATCAGAATGTTTTTACTCTCCCCACCTATCAAAAGAGAGCTAGGCTTTCTTCAAGACTGTTCTCAGATGTTATTTTGCCTTGGAAGCCTTCCCTGGTCCCTTAGTCCACTGTCCCCACCTCCCTCAAGTGCCTTTCCTTCATGACCAAATCTCCTGAATGTGTGTGGTTTTTAGTGCATATCTTACTGCAACTGTATGTCTGCTTCTCCCAATACACTATGATCTACTTGAAGGGGAAAACAAAATTTTGTGTACTAGCTGCCTGGCACATAGTAGGAGCCTAACTCATTAAACTAATAGAGACAGATAATATTGATTGAGTAAAATGTTAAAGAATGGAGCAGAGGTAAATTTTTAAAACTAGACACCATTGTAGAGGTTCAGTCTTCTCCTCTTTATTAGAGTAAAGATAAATAGTAGAGTAGTTATGCCATACTACGTAGGAGGCTTGATTGGAATGCCTGGGAAGGGATATGCCTTGTGAAGTAGGACTTTGCAAGAGATATGTTGAGTTGAGATAGTGGGGTGGAGTAGGCAAGCAATGCCTTCATTCTCAGTAGAAATAAACTTTTCAGAATAATCGCTATCCTCTAGACCAGAGAAGGAGAGATAAATAGGTGTCTGTTGTCTAGTCTACTAAACCAATTGGAGGAGCAAACAAAAATTCTAGACAGGATAAAAAATTTGTATTTGGCTGGTGCCCTCCATTGTTTTTCTAGGGACTTTGGTAAAAAATAATCTAATGATTTTAAATCATGCTTGAGCCTATTTTGTGCAGTGCAAACAATACATATGTGAAGTTTGAATGTGGCTTATGGGTCATTACTTTTAAGGACAGCTGATTTGGAAGAAGAAATGGATACTCAAGGATTCCTCAGTGATTCAGAGGGTAGAAGGCATTGAGTATAATTCATAACTTCACCCTCAACCATTGTTATCTGACCTTGGGCATATTTTGATATCCCTATGGTCCTGTCTATGCAGAAGGAAGAGCATCTGAACTTGTTAAAATAGAGAGTCAGTTCATCATACCGGAAATGTAGCTAGGGGCTATTTACCACAGTCAGTTAATAAGATAAAAGTGGACAAACATTATCAGCTGTTCTATTCAGTTGTTGTGCAGAGAAGAGAGACATATTTTCTGAGCTTCATAAAAAATGTATAGATTTGGCTACTTTAGAGAAATTTTAAAAAATCAAGTTGAAGAGTACTTTTCTAAAAAAGTTCTATAAAATTTTATTTTAGATGTGTAGTGCCAGAGAGGCACTGGACTAGAATTCCACCAGATGACTTTTCCACCTAGGAAAACACTGACACAAACCATTGCTGGCTGATTTATACGCACATGGCTGGTGGTCCATAGAATCCATAGAATGGAGAAAAGGGGAAAGACACCCAGAGCGATCAATTAGACAATCACAGTTGAAAAACAAACTTCACAGATCAAGTGCAAGTTTCAGTCAATGTTCTTAGCTCAAGTCTGTATTTTTAAACAAATATTTTTACAAGCCTTGGAAGATGACAGTTGCAATGGCTTAAAATCAATCTTAACTCACTTTCCATTCATATAGCGTGAGAGGAGAGAGCTGATTTTATAGGCTAACTGGGGGAACATTCTCGAGGTTTCCATAGTACAGAAGGAAGTTGATTTCAGCACGAACAGATATGTCAAGCTCTAAGGGCTGTGCCTAGACTGAGAAGGTTTTGCTATCCTCCAAATCTTGTTAGGCAAGGAGGGGCAATGTGTTGCAGGGCAGCTCAGGTCCTGGAGTTCCTGCCAAACTTGGACTGGCAGCGACCACAAGACTAACTGCCCCTAGACCCCTCGCTTGTGGTTTCAGCCTCCCACACGGAGATGGTATCAGCAATCCATTAAAAGTGAGTCCTTCAGAGGGAGAAGACTGTTAATCAGTCAGGACGGACTGGCACTTGTGAGGAGAGTGAGCGTGCGTGGATGTGTGTCTGTGTGGGGAGAGAGCGCGCGTGTGTGCTCTCCTTAGGGGAAGATCTATGATTTGACAGCCTCGTTGCTGCTCTTGCTGCTCCTGCTCCTGCTGCTGCTGCTCCTACTGTTGCTGCTGCTGCTGCTGCTGCTCCTGCTGCTCCTGCTGCTCCTGCTGCTGCTGCGGCTGTCTGGTCTGTCAGTTAAAAAGGGCTGTGAGGTTTAGAGGAGCTGCAGTTCGAAAGACTGAACGCTGCTAAGTGGCCTCCCTGTCAGAGTAGCAGAGATTTTCTGCAGCATTGGAAACTTGGACCTCTTACCACTTCATCTGCCCAGAAAAGCAAGCAGCTCGACAGCAGACAAGGTAAGAAAGAAAATTGCTTTTTGTTGGGTATGGGGGAGAGAGGGGACAGGGAAATGTAGGTGCAAGAGCTTGATATTTTATACCAAAGAGATCTCACTGTCTGAGAGCAGAGGAAGCAATAGCTAAATTCCTATGAACCTTGACCACTGAACCTTTTGGCTTTCCCCCAGTACCCTTTTCTTCTTTATTACACTTTTCTAGAGCATCTGAAAGGTTTCTTTGTATTTATTTTTCTGCTAGCACATATTATTTAGTTTTTCTCAGCTAGGCACTATTTCAAAACAAGGAGCTTTTTCTGTTTCTTTCAAGCATTTTTCTCCCTTAAGAAGAACTAGTCCCTCTTAACGGGAGCTGGTCAAAGGAGTTACTCTATCCTACACTAGAGTTGCAATAAAAGTAGTTTTCGAAAGTACACAGGAGTCTTATGTTACTTGAAAAAATCAGAAGTGGAAGGGGAGGAAGTGAGAGTTACCTGTGCTGGTGACTTGATCGGGAATGGTGACACTGTGAATGAGTATGTGCACAATCTTCCACAGAGAGTAGATCCGCTGTGATCGAAGTGGGCACGGAGCAGAAGATGTTTTAAGAGGTCACTGTTTCAGAGAAAGTTCAACCACTAAGGATGGAAAACGAGACAGCCGGAGAACTGAACCAAACCCAGCTCCAGCCACGAGCAGTGGTGACCCTCGAATACCAAGTGGTCACCATCTTACTTGTACTCATTATTTGTGGTCTGGGCATCGTGGGAAACATCATGGTAGTCTTGGTGGTCCTGAGAACCAAGCACATGAGGACCCCCACAAACTGCTACCTGGTGAGTCTAGCAGTGGCTGACCTCATGGTCCTGGTGGCTGCGGGTCTCCCCAACATTACAGACAGCATCTATGGTTCCTGGGTCTATGGCTATGTTGGCTGCCTCTGCATTACTTACCTTCAGTACTTGGGAATTAATGCATCCTCTTGTTCAATAACAGCCTTTACCATTGAAAGGTACATAGCAATCTGTCACCCCATCAAAGCCCAGTTTCTCTGCACATTTTCCAGAGCCAAAAAGATCATCATCTTTGTCTGGGCTTTCACATCCATTTATTGTATGCTCTGGTTCTTCTTGCTGGATCTCAACATTAGCACCTACAAAGATGCTACTGTGGTGTCTTGTGGCTACAAGATCTCCAGGAATTACTACTCACCTATTTATTTGATGGACTTTGGTGTGTTTTATGTTGTGCCAATGATCCTGGCCACTGTCCTCTATGGATTCATAGCTAGAATCCTCTTCTTAAATCCCATTCCTTCAGACCCTAAAGAAAACTCTGGTAAGACACTGAAAAATGACTCAACCCACCAGAACAAGAATGTGAATTTAAATACCTCCAATAGATGTTTCAACAGCACTGTGTCTTCAAGGAAGCAGGTAAGCTGAACCTCCGAGTCAATAGAGGAAATGCGGGATAGAGTTCCTTGTGCGATAGGATCAGCTTTGTCCTACTTAGCTGATGGCAAAACCAAAATATAATCATGCAAATGTGTTATAGCCTAAGCTTCTGCTTTACATATAAAATCCATCTCCAAAGCAACTGGAGACCTAAAAATAGGTGGGGAAAATTTGATAGTACCTCCTCTGCAGGTATGAGTTCAGGTGCTATTAAGATATAAGCAGCTGTAAACAGAAACTCCAGAAATTCACCTTTAAAATGTTTGTGCCTCTCTGACAATGTTATCAGAACACTGAGACCATTTCTGACTTCCATATAGAAAAATCCTATGGTATGGCACAGGATTATCTTTAAGAACCCTTTTGCACAAGGGGGTTACCAGGAAAGTTTGAGCATAAATAGTCAAAAATAGTGAAACTTTTCCTGCTATTCTATGGGTACTTACAACTGAGACACATATTTGAAAGATGCACCTGGACATATTTTTGTTCATCTTCTTGAGGGAAGATTTTTTCACTCTGTCCTTTAGCTACCTACAGGGTAACCCAGCATGCAGAAGCTAAAAATGCACTTTGCTTGGGAAATGCTCTAATAAAAGGGGGGAAAGTTCAGTTTGTTGTAAAAAAAAGATTAATTTTTAAATGTCTCCTTTTCCAGCTAAGCATAACTAAACGTTTCTTTCAGATACCTGAATGCCCATAAAGTTATGGTTTTATTAATGAATGAAGTACAATTTCCTTATAGTAAATATTTATAAGAACAAAATGCTTTTATATCATGTATACATTTACTGTATTTACACTATTGTTTGAAGCTAATTTATGAACTTAGTTTCCAGTTCCCTTTCCTTTTTTGTTGAACATAATAAACAGTAAACATTTATTCTCCAAGTTTAAAGAGAAAACTTGAAATCAACAATCTTGTTTCTTTCAAATGGCTTGAATTTTCTCTATATCTCTCTCTCTTTTCCAGAAGTAAATACAGCTTATTTTATGTGCATAGGTATAATCTGATTGTACTGTTTAAAGTATGCATTTGGGTCATTCACACTATTACTTCCTAAACTCTAGATAGCTGATAAGTGAAGAATTGTAACTGAAGATATATTTGGACACACATTTGAATAAACTACTAAAATGAAGATGTTTTAGATATGCATGAAATAAATAATGAACTCTAACCAAAAAGAAACATATGCAGTATTTTACATGATACTGTGATACTTGCTTCATACAACATTGTAATTCCAGATACCCAGATCATAGAAGGGAAGAAGTGAGCAGCTCTTACTAGCTTAGATTCCTGTTGCTTTGGATCTAGCAATGCTACCTAATACGAGGCATATTTAGCCATCTTTTACTCAAAACCTGATTAATGGAATTATACAGAAATCTGCTGACCATCTGCCAAGACACACATTAACAAATGCAATAAGAGAGTAAAGAATGTACATTTCAATTAGAGATCAAACTTCACTTAATACTGCAGCAAGAAAGGTCAGTGAGTGAATTTACTCATTAGACTCCAATTTGTATTCTTGATACAAAGTCTAAAAATTGTTTGTCTGGCCTATATCCTTTCTTTCAGTTACAGTCATTACCACCTATCACCCTTAATAGTGTTCTTTAAATTGCTAACTATGTTACATGTTTACCCTGTTATTTCAAAGCTGTTATAGATAAACTGTCTGTGGAGCCCATGTGATAGAAGAAAAGGGCAAAGATTTGGCTTCAGAGAACCCCAAGTTAAAATGCCAAGGTTCCAATCAAGCTGTCTGACTTTGAATAATAAGAACTTTCTGAGCCTTAGCTTCTTTATGTAGCAAACGAGATCAGTGGCAACACTCAGGATGAGTGTGAAGGTCCAGTGAAAAATCCTCAGAAAGACACCTAAAGTGAGGTGGTGCTTCTCACCTGAGCACTAGTTGTTTCTTTTGTAGTTTGTTAACTATCCTGACAATTGTGAAGGAGCCATAGATTTGTTCTTAAAGTATATTTGCTATTTAAACAAAGATTATTTGTTAAACCTATGTGTGTATGGTATAGTAACTTCTCTGAGGAACTTTTCAGGGCATTTGGTAATCAAAACATTCAGAGTTGTCACAGTAACATTGTTGTCAGCATCCAGGAAAGCAGGATGCCCACATAGGGAGGAAGGGTCCTGTGACAGACACCAGTAGCACCTCAGTGAGACACACGGGACAACATGGATTAACAGAAGTGCATTTAAGGAACCTGCTCTGTAATCTTAATTTTAGATGAGATAGAAGCTTAGAGAAGAGAAGGAAAAGTATGGGGCTAGGAGGATAAGAGAAGACTTGATGAAAGAGAGTAGTAAAAATAAGATTGGGGTTGATTGTGTGTGTGAGAGAGAAAGAGAGAGACAGAGAGAGAAGAGGGAGAGAGAGAGAGGGAGGGAGAGAACACCACAGAGAATCCTAGGTGAAGGATTCTTTTCCTTTTTCTTTTGCTGTATGGGGAATTGAACCTATAGCCTTCACACTTGAGCTACATCTCTGCCCCCTTTTAAATTTTGTTTTATTTTGACATAGGGTCTCTAAAAGTCTCTAAGTTTCCCAGGCTCGTGATCCTTCTGCCTCAGCCTCCCAGAGTGCTGGAATTACAGGTGTGAACTGCCACTCATAGCTTTGGAAAAGGAATTTTGAACTTAATGTAAAAGCACCGAAGAATGTGAGTAGTGACGAGGAAACAGCAATCATGAAAGTGGTGTTTGGTGATGAGAAATCTGACAGCTGTAGGTCTGCAGATCGGAAGATCGAGGGATTGGTGGCAGAAAGACCTCTGTGGAAGCTTTGGTAGTGATACAGAAATAAGCAGTAAGGGGCCCAGGGATTTAGCTCAGTGATTCCAGCACCTGCCTGCAAGTGCAAGGTCCCGAGTTCGATCCCCAGAATCAAAAACAAACAAACAAACAAAAGAATGAAGCAGTAAGGTGTTGCATTTGGAAAATCTAAATTAGGCTTTAAACCAGAGAGACATTTCTGAGAAAGAATCAGTATAATGTGAACATATTAAATATGAAAGATGAAGAGAGAGCAATTCAATATGGCACCAGGTTCTCTGGTGGTATCTTGGTGCGTGGGAATGACAGGTATGAAAGAAAGTCAGTTTTGCCCAAAATTAGTAACCCACGATCTGGCTTTTCCTTTTCTTAAATTTTCATAAAGGCCAAACCTCTCCCTTCTATAACACAAGGACTTTTATTTTAATATTTTTCCCTGCATTTTTTTCTTTGAGGCAAGCTTAATTTACATTTTAATAAATACTCACCTTGGCCAGGTCTTTCTATCCAGATGATTAAAGTCAAATGTGCGTAGCCTAAAGGAACTACATTTTAAAAAGGAAATAAAAGAGCATTTATCTGTAATGGACAAATCCAAGGTTTTTGTTTGCTTGTTTTATTTTTAACTTATCACCCTGTCCAAAAGATTGAGGATAAAATTTCTTGCTATTATTCAGTTTCAATTATTTTAGGAAACTACCTTAATATCAAGTAAATTCAATGAAATAAGTTACTCAAATTTGTGGCTTGAAATTGTGTAGACAGAAGGACCACCCGATTGACTCAGTCTTTTGCCTTACAATGGGTTGTTTTGATTTTGAGGCAGTACCATTTAAATTATCACATTTATTACATTTCAGCTCCATATACACAATGCCAAAAAATGCCCCTCAGTCACTCAGTTCAGGTCCTCAGCATTGTGTAAATAAAGCATCTCTATCATTGACTATGTACTTCTCTGTAATCGATTGGATTTTTTAGTATTTTGGAAGCACAGAAACACTTGAACCTCTTGATAAAAGGTAAAAATAGCAATAAACATATTCAATTCAAATATTTGCTTTCCACAAGATTCAAGGGCATACAGAATATTATAGGCTACCAGTTTTATTTTCAGTGGAGTCATTATAACATCTTTTTCTTTTCTTAGCAGCACAACTAGTAGGAAAACTGTGAAATCAAGTCCTAATAGACACAAGAGTTTTTGTTATGTATTTTATGTGACTAATCAAGCCTTAAAAATATCAGTCTTTGTTTCCATAAAAATGGTTAAAAGTCTTCTACTCTACTAGAAAGAATGCAGGTAGTTTAAGAAACAAAAGCAACTTTGCTTTTGAAAGCAATACATGACTTTTGGTGGTGCTGCTGATGATAGTGGTTTAAAAAGTCACTTACATTATGGAAAACACAGATAAATTATAATTAAAATGTATATAATTGTAGTTAAACATTACATATGTTATAGTTAAAATAGTTATTTTAGTTAAAATGTATATATAAATGTATATATAGTTATAGTTAAAAAGTATGTTTGCTGCATGCTTTTCCACACACAATGTTCAAATTAATTTTCTCAAAGAAAAAGAAAGTGATTAGAACTGAATTAGGTTCTTTGAACCTCAGTTTTCTCATCATTGAGATGGGTAAAACAATTACCTCATGAAGTTGTTGCTGAAATCAACATCAGTGCGATGCTTCAGACAAAATCCCATACTTGCTGTCTTGCTGCCTGCCCAATCAGGTTCTTTTCTCTCCCTCCCATGATTCTCAGCCACCCTCATCTACCTAGGAGCCCTCTTGATTCCAAGTCATAAGATGTGATGGGGGAAAAACTGAAGCACTCAAATAAGGAAATGCTTTTGATGTGGCCTCTCTCTTGTCCTTCTGCTTCCCTCCAACTCCTGCCCCTGACACTATTTGCATTGAAAGGGCGAAAGAAATCTTTAACACATTAGGAGAAAGAGGTATACTTGGTCGAGTGTCAGGTAGTCGGGTTGTTATTCGGAGCATAGAGTCCTTTGCGGTGTGTGATTTGTGGAATTGCTAACTTTACCTACATCCTAGAGAAGCTCTGCTCAACACAGCCATCCTTCTCCCTGGTCAGCTTAGTCAATGATGACCCTCACAAGGTAGAGTAAAATACTGTACTAACTCTTGAGCAATAGGCCTAAATTAGAGTTTACTAGAGTTGTTTTACTCTAGTTTACTAGCATTGATTTTACAGATCTATCTATTTGTAATTGTTTTTTGTTCCAATTGTTTAGCTTTAACCATATGCTTAATACTGTGAAGATCTTTAAGTTGAGGGGGGAGTATAATTTGTCACTTAGCACAAAAGCAATTAAATGTGCCATTTTATTTTTATTACTAAAGAATACCTTTCTATTTTCTGATTCACATCCTGTAGAAGGAAAGACATATTACATAACCCATAAATCAACTACATGGTAATCCTCTGTAGTTACATGCTTTGTGTCCTTTGTCCTAGATGCATATACCTTGTTTATTCCCAATTTTAGTTTTGATGCTTTGAGCCATAGTTTCACCAGCAGAGAAAAATTAATTTTCTTATATGCCTACAAAAAAGGAAACATGCACTCCTACAGAATTCTCAATTTGGCCACATAAAAAATAACTCTCAAAATCATTTAACCTTGAACATGAAAAACTACTTTATACTTTTTTGTAAAGCATCTCATGAATTCTTCAAAATGTAGACATCTCAAGCTCCAGACAAGTGAAAGCCACTACTATAACTATGTCCTTAGTCTCCTCTATCTTTTTTCTTTTTTAACAAATTAGGGGAAAGTTGTAAATCCGGAGCTGGTTTGGCATAGAGCAAAGTTTCATGGTAGCTCATTGATGTTCAGCATTTTCTGTAATGTCGTTAAACATTCACTCACACCCCCAAAAGTACCTAGCACTATCCAAGGTGTGCAGGCTGCAGGGTTATATGAAGACAGACACTTCACCTCCAAGGAGATCCATGAATATCACTGAGCACATCACTGTGTTTTAGAAAAGAGGACCCAGCAGGGGCGAGGAGAGAAGGAAAATGGAGGAGCTTGATGGAACACCTGCTATTTGAGCTGTACTGGTAGAGGTGAGTTGAATGTGTGAGAACAGCACCAAGAAGACAGGGAGAAAGCAAGACAATCCAATGGAAAGGAGGAGTAGGTGAGAGAAAACTGGGCATGTTCACGGAGGATAGTCTAGTATGGCTGAAGTAAGCTGTGGAAGGGGATTGTTCGGTGAAGGAAATCTCAGTTACACTGGTTCCCGCTACACCTGCTCAGCCTCTCCTTCCAATCCTATCAGGTTGTTCTAGGTACTTTATTCTAGACCTGTGCTTACATCTACCACCTATGAGTCTCCCATATACAGCTCTAGAAAAGATATCTCTTAATCCATCTGTGCAATTGATTTTTGGATCACATGTAATTAAATTAATTTTAATATGTCTAAAATTAAGCTCATTATTTTCCTTTATAACTTCTACTTCGGTCCTTCCTACTCTGTTTCCTGACCAGAAACTTAGGAGACCTTCCAGTTTCCTTTTTCTCTAATTATTCCCTTTTCCCAAATCTAATAGCCAACTTCTAGTGATTCCAGGGGGTAACTCTCCTAGCTGACCTATTTTTCCACCTGAACTTCCACTGTCCTAGTTCACCACCTCTTACTGCCTACTTCAGTGCCCAACTTACCAGCCTCTTTGGCTCCCAGTCAACTCTGCCTACAAATTATTCTGCACATCGCTGACTCGGGGATCTCTCTAACACAGAGATATATTATAACAATCCTTTTTGGAGTTCTCTAATGCCTAGAGTTTAAACTCCTTATCATACAAATAAGATTTTGTCCCTTCCCTACATTTTCAGCTCATCTCTCATGGCTCTCTCAACTTACACATTATGCTTCAGCAATATTAAATTACTTGTAGTTCTCTGAATATACTAGAGTTCTGGCAAACTCTCAATTTTCTTTCAAGTTTCAAATCAAATAATGCCCCATGCACCCCATCAAGCCGTCCCTGAACTTCTCAGGAAGATTTGTACAATTGATGCCCTACCTACCTACCTACCTATACATATACAGTGTTTTCCCATGCATTTATAGTACTTTGCATATATTTCTGGTTTAGTAATTCTTTCGTGCCATAACTGCTTGCTTGTCTGTCTTCCTAGCCCACTAGCATCCCTTACAGTAGGACCCTGTATTCCCAGCACCCTCAGCACTGAGCTTGTCTATCAAAGTGTATGTTCACGGTGTTATGTTGCAGCCTAAGAGCACAGGCTTTGCAAAACAGCTTGGCAGTCCCTTTTCCCAATTCTGCATTCAGTGACATCACAACAGTTCCTTAAAACTGTCCGTGGTTGAAGTACTTATGCCGCAGAAATCAACAAATATGGTATCTAAAGCTCTTTCTTTTTGTGGGAAAATGATTGTTAAATATTTACCAGCACACTTCTGCTTGTGTGGTTATATCATTCATATAAATATATAATAGTATAAAAGAGCATATGCAACCATACTTAGAGACTCACCCAACTCCAACATTCTGTTTTGCCCCCTGAAAAATACTTTATGTTTGTGACATATCCTTCTCAAACTTTAATTAAAATGCCCTTGTGTATTAACAAATGTCTTTTGCATTCCAAAATAACCAAAGTGCAGCTAACCAGTTTGACAATGATTAAATTAGCAGATAAAAACTTTTAGGGAGATTTTTCTTTCTGCACAGGACAGGCTGATTTAGACATGCAATAAGCTCAAGTAATAATTGACTTTGTTATACAAAATCCAGTTCTCTTTCCTGTGAGCATTCCATATCCCCTCCTTGAGAAGGAGGAAGCTGCTTTGGACATAAAGGGCAGAACAGAAGAACAATAGCAACCCAGGGATAAATGATCTTAGTAGAGAAATAAAAATGATAATAAATCCAAGTGCTCCCATGTGAATAATTTTCCTAATACAATTTGCTTATATCATCTTTCAAAAAAAACATCTCGCCAAGCTTCTCTGAATAGCTTTCAAAACCTTGTAAAACATTATCCTTTTCTTTCTCTTTGCTCATCCATTTTCTTTTGACGTTAATAAACATTTATTGAGCACCCATTTCATATCAGGCACTATTGTGAAGAGCCAATAATAGTCACTACCTTATAAACCTACAGTAAAACACCAAAGATTCATATTAAATAAAAACAACCTCGTAGAAACATGAGGCTAAGCTCGACAGTGTACAGAAAATGCAATAATCAAGGACTGATTACTGTACTATGGCTGGAGAGCAAGGCCTCAGTAGGAAACACTGCTCTTAAAGAATAAGTAAATGCTTGCCGACCAACATGAAAAACACAGCCCTTTATACTAGTGGAAGCTGTCACTTAAGTAACGGAGCTGAGCCCATACTAAGACCATGGACAGCACTGCATGCCTGCTCAATATTCCTATTCTCAGCTTTGTGGCACTGGGGAACCACTGGAGGCCTTCCATAAGGACAGTAGCAAATGGATCTTGAGTTTTGAGAATGTTGCTCTTAAAAT